ATGTATAAAAATTAATGAAATATGCCTATTATGTTGTTATTTATTCTCAAATTTACATTAATTTTTGTTAGAATTCAACTCTAATAGATTTCATATATGTATGTGTGAAATTCCCTAAGATAGAATGATTTAAGTTTTTCTTCCAAAAATACCATTATTTTTTTTTTCAAAAATACCACAAAAGTTTTATTTTTCCAAAAATACCATAAACATAAAACTTTGAATTTTGAAGATGTAGAGTTTTTTTTTTATGTTTGGGTTGACTATTTACATTTAGGGTATAGTTTTTAGGGGTAGGGTTTAGTGTTTAGGATTTAGAAATTAGTTTTGAATATTAAAAATTTAAGTTAGAGGTATCTTATTATAAATTGTATAGAGTTATTAATTTATCGAATTATGGGACCATATATTGAAATAATATTGGAAATAATATTGCTTTCTTTATCATGGTTTATATTGAAGAAGGGTAATTTAGTCATTTTTACATATGATATTTTTTAAAATAGACACTTAGAGAGGGTACTTATAAAAAAGGGTATCATAAAAATGTTAGTTGTGCAAATCCCCTTTTTTAATTCTTTAGACCTAATTTGTATACTTCTTATTAATAATTTTTTATTTTATAATTACTATATTTTTTTCTTTAGGATTACTACTAAGTAATTGTTAAATTTCATGAATTCTTATTTTCTTCTTTCTATTTTGAAAATATTCTTTTTTGAAAACTAATTTATATATTTTATTACCACTAATTATCTGACATGTGTCAACATCTTATCGATTCAATTAACACGTGTCACGATTTGGTTAATGACTAACTTTGAAAACCCAACTTTATATAATAAGATAATTAGAAAATGTAAACAATCTTTTTTTTTTTTGTCAAAAAGAAAATGTAAACAATCTAAAAACCAAAACTAAACCGGAATTTGGATTGGGAGGGGCTGGTGACAGCTGGCGCAAACTGATTGGCTTACAAACTCTTGTATCCCTGAGCTGAGCAAATATAAAACGCAAGAACAATTGTTTTCTCTGCTTTCAAGAAAATGCTACAACTCAGCTCTCGTTCTCTTTGAAGATTCAATATCGCTTCCTTCACGTATCTTTGAAGATCTGATCAGAGTCATCTTCTAGTTAGTGAAAATTAGGGTTCTCTAGATTAGGGTTAGCGCAAAAAAAGTATGGTTAGGATCAGTAACTTACCAGAAGAGCTTGCTTGTCACGTAATCTCATTCCTTTCGACAAAAGACGCAGCGAGGTTGAAGTATGCTTCCAAGAACTGGTATAGTCTTGTTACCATCATACAGAGTTGTGTTTTTGATGATTCTTCCTCTGCCATTAATGGAAGTTTCAAAGATTTTGCTGATCGATTTGTATCTCCTCGACATGAGAGTCACCACCGTATAAAGAGATTCTCTCTAACGCTCACGTCTTCGTCTTTGGATCCTTCTCAGTATGATACAGTCAAGGATTGTTTACGCAGTGTGTTCAAGCGTGGTGTCTTGGATCTTGAACTCGACATCAGAGTTGGTTATGATGATCAAGAAGATGTTGATGATGATAAATACTCACTGCCTTTAGAGTTGTTTACTTGCAAGAGCGTTGTGAAACTAAGACTAGGCTCTGGTTTTGTTATTGATCATCTCCCTAAGAATGCTTTGCTCCCTTCTCTCAAGACTCTCTTTCTTGATTCAGTTAGGTTCAATGATACTACTGATGGTGGTTGTGCGTTTACAAGGCTTATCTCTGCTTGTCCTGTGCTTGAGGAGTTACTCATATATGGCCACAACTGTGAAGACTGGAACTGGTCTTGTGTTGTCTCTAGTAAGATCCTTAAGAGACTTACCATTCATCGTAAACAATGGGATAACGATGGTGATTTCGAGTCTATCAGTTTTGATACTCCGAGTCTTGAATACTTTGATTACTTTGATGTTCTCAGAGATCATTATCCAGTTGTTAATCTCAGTTCACTTGTTGAAGCTAAGATAGAGCTTCCTCCTCTTTACAATGGGGATACCTATGATGTTACCAATCTGATTAAAGGGTTAAAACATGTTCAGATTCTGATCATAGGATTCCCTGACACCATGCAAGTAAGTGTTTTGTTACTCCACTGAGACATTATAATGTTTATTCAAGTTATAACTCCACTGAGACTAGTTTTGTTTCTTGTTTCTTATAGCTGTTTTGGGCCTTCCGTGAAGCAGTCCCAGTGTTTGAGAACCTGTTTCATTTATCAGTATGGACTGAGGAACCTATCTGCTGGGCTGCTCTTGTTATTCTAGTTAAAAGATCTCCAAATCTTAAGTCTCTCACCATTGAGGTATGAACAAGAACCTCCTCCTGAATAGTCCATTGGAGAAACAAAAGTATCCAAACTCACATAATCTTTTTTGCAGGCTTTGCACTGTGATACTACAGAAGAGGGTGTGGAGTCTGTTTGCAAATGCGTGGAGGGTTACTCGTTTCTTCTGTCCTGCCCTATTGAGATACTAAAGATAAACCAATTCCATGGATATATTGGAGAAATGGCGCAAATAAAGCATATCTTGGAGAAACTGCAGTGTTTGGTTTTGTTGGAAGTTCATGTTGAGGGAAGAAGTGATGATGACCTGCAGATCTTGGTGGATCTCTTAATGCTTCCGAGAGCTTCATCCAAATGCAAAGTCCAGGTCATGTTCTCGGAAACAAACTAGACTTTTGTTGTCTAAGACATGAACCCTCTAGATCTGATAAAAGAAACTTAGTACACGGTTCTTGTTTGGTTGACATGAGATGAGAGCTGTTTTGTTTTGGATCTTTTATATATAGACAACTGTTTTTAAGATTTCATTAGTTAATGCTGCTATGCTTTGTTCTTTTGTTCGAAGATTACAATTAGTTAACAACCATAACGTTTAGATTCATTAGCACAAACATATCAAGCCTTAGCATAATCGATATGTTATATATCCAATTTAGTGCCGAAGCTGTTCAAGCAAATAGCAAACTGTAGTATGATCTTATCATTGTCTGATGGCCCTGGCTGCTGTGATGTTGCTGATGGCCTCGTGGTCAATGCTCCAGTAGCATCACTACCAAAACATGGCTGCACAGTTGCAGCCGATATAATATAGATGCATAATGCAAAAAGTAATCAAGAACACAATCATGTTTTGCAAGAAGTAATCAAGAACTCAATCATGTTTTGCAAGAAGTAATCAAGAACTCAATCATGTTTTGCAAGAAGTAATCAAGAACTCAATCATGTTTTGCAAGAAGTAATCAAGAACTCAATCTTACCTCCAATGTAAGTGCTACTTGATCTTGAAATGTTGTCTGCATCCATGGATATCACATACTCTGGTGTATGTAGTTCTCCGTGTGCACTTTCCTTAGAGAAGAAACTTTCCACTTTCAACAAGTAAGGCTGTACACATTGGGACATAAAAGGTTAGTAAAATGAGCCACTAGTAGAGAATTTGAGCTTTCTGCTATTTTCAAGAACTTGCAAGTATAAAATTTAAACATAACTAATACATGTCTTCTACTACATTTTGAGTCCAAATGACCAAACAGAGTTTACTGAAGCAGAGGTTTGGTAACATCGACAAAGACCAAGGACTAACCAGGTCTAAGAGAAAGGTAAAGATGGTGAGTCTCGTCTCTTTCATTCAACCTTCTCATCACATCTCTTAGTAGAGGAGCTGGCAAATTAGCCCAACGAGTGTTCTTGATTACAGGCTTGTGCAGACTCTCTTGTATTTTATTGATTTGATAACCCAATTCCATAACACAGTTACTTCAATATTATGCATGTTAAGATTTGTATACTCTATTTTGTAATCAAATTTTTTTTCATATCTACCAAAATGTGCTCAGTGATGAACATTTTTAAATTGCACAATTATGTAATGATATAATCACTTAGGTATATAATCAGAAAATTCCAAGTTAAAACAAAAGGATTTCAAGTATTACAACAGTTTAAAGCTGTTCATTTCCTTTTGTCTCAACCATGAAGAGATGGTCACAAACACACTCTACTAAAATTTTAAGTACATGAGAAATTTAGCTTTCTTCACCATCATCGGTGATGAATTTTCCATTACCAGGATTAATGGCAGCAAAGAAGAAGAAAGCAACGTTTAAGAGGACGAGCGGTTCGATATCTTGAATCGGTATACCCGTCTCAATGTTGAGTTGAGCTAATGCTCCCTTTCCGGTTATAATCTCACCGATCAATGAAAATGCTATTCCCAACTGTGCCAATCTTCCTACGAATAGCTCGTTCGCCTTGGTGAATCCAAACAATGGACCTTCACACAACCAAACAACAACAATATTATCAATCTATTTTAAACCATTGCAATTAATAAGACCATATAATTCTCACTAGTATCATTTCATATCATACTTCTCCTCCCAAACGCTACTCGAGTTGACGACCTCTAGACTTTTGCCAGATATCTTTATCAGTTGAACAATTAACACTTGGTAACAATATCATATTTCTATCATAGGATAACGATAACTCAAGCATAGAACAGATGCATACACTATAGTTACTTCAATACTAATCATATGATTTAATCTAGAGATTAATGTCCTTTGTAGCTATAAGAATTCGACTTAAATTTAATCGGTTTTTTCAACATTTCCCTAAGTAACCTATGTATTGTAACAAAAGAATGAAATGGAAATGTTGAGAGATACCTTGTTCTTTGAGACCAAGGGCAGATCTGACTCCTTTGCCTGGAGGAATGACAGCTTTCTCGAGTCCGGTGGGAGGATCGTCGACGAATTTTCCTCTGTCTCCAAGAGCTCCAATGGCTCCCAACAAAGTGAACAAGATAAAGAAGAGAAGCAATGGCTCTGCTTCGTAAATCGGTATCCCTGTCTCAAGATTCAGCTGAGCTAAGATCCCTTTCCCGGTGATACCCTCACCAAGCAAAGATGCCTATATATATATTCATATAAACTCAACATTCATATCAAAATGCTTCGATACATCTAAGTGAATGAGAAGGAGACTTACTGCGAAACCGATCATAGCAACACGACCAACGAAAAGCTCATTAGCCTTAGTGAAACCAATCCCACCTGAAGTTCCAAAGATACCATCCTCAACCTTTGGCTTCACCTTCTCAACCTAAACACACATATAAAAAAAAAAACCTTAACATTACCATCAAGACACAACATATGTTCCTTGTGAGACAAGTAAAGGGTTTTGTGAGTACCTTCTTGGGAGCAGCTTTGGTTTTAGGTTTGAAGAGAGCAAGAGGAACAAATGATTGTCTCCTCGATGGTAGAGCAACCGGGGAGGTTCCAGAGAGGAAGAGTTGGTGAACTTTGGGCTGAGCCAAAGGGTTCTTGTTCCTCAAGAATTGGCCGGCGGAGACACCGGAGGTAAGCAGCATAGTCTGAGCCATCGAAGAGATAGTACTTTTGTGTGTTGTGTTGTGTTTGTGCTGCTGTGTCTGAGGATGAGAAGAGAAGGATCAGTGATGTGTTGTGGTGTGGAAGTAAAGAGATTAAGAGATATCAGGGAAATCTGTTGACGGGCTTGTAGTGCGTCCACGTCTCCCAATTGTCCTTTCTATACTCGCTATGTGGAGATAATGTTTTTGTGGAGAAAAATATTAAATTAATTTTTTTGAAAAAAAATATTTCTTTAAAAAATATATTAATTTTAATTTTCGTGTGAGTGAATAGACAATAACTTGTCAAAAAAAAAAAAAAAAATAGAAGGTCATATCATATGTACCATTTAAAGAACCATTTATTATGAACAAGATGTCCAATACTAGATTCAATATTTTTCTCCAAAAAATGTCTCTAATTCATTAAAAAAACATATTTTTGAGTTACAATATATTAAATATGTTTTTTCAACTGTTTTTAAATAATGTAATATATAAAAAAATACTTTAAAATACATAAAACAAATGAGAAAAGCGATGTCCTAATTTATTGCTTGCCAGGAGACAATTAAAATATACCTAAGTTGAGGTATAAAAATACACTTTTGAAATTGTTCATGTTGAAATTTATCCTTTACTCCTATTAAAACATTTTTGTAAACTTTTTAAAAGAGTACATATGTATTTGCTATATCTCATATTTTTATGGGTATTTTTACAGAATTTTTGAAAATATTACACATTTTTGAAAAGTGATATTAGGAAATGATTATTTTAAAAACTCCTGTTTTTATCATGACTTATGATTTTGGATTGGATATTATTATATTGGCTCGATTAATAACCTGTTGAAATTATTATATTCTTATAATTTGATTTCGAATCAATTATGAATAAGGGACATATTTTGATGACATTTATAGGGTTTGCCACTTTTTCAAAAACCCTTTTAAATTGCCATTTTGTTATATACAAAAATAAAAATTTACACATGATATTTGGGTTGATTAGGTTTCAATTTTTTGTGAAAAAAATTTGAATTCGCCATTTTTCTGGACCAAACTTTGGTTTTGCCATTTTTGGTAAAGTCTTATGGATATGCCATTTTTTAGTTTAGAAAAATGTGATTAAAAATGTGTTTCACTTGTTATGTTTGGTTTTAATCGGCTCTAATTATCTTTAGGGTTTAATATCTCCTATATAATACGTCTTTTAGCAAAAAAAATAAAAAAAAATGAACATTTTTAAAAGTTCAAAATGGCAAATCCATAAATATTTATCAGAATTGGCACATTCGTAAGATTTGCCCTAGAAAATGGCAAAATCCTGAAAAATCTCATTTTTGTAGGGTATATATCTTGTTATGAAGTATGTGATTTATAAAATATTTTTCAAATATTTATTTTCTAAAAAATTGAAAATTGGCAAATTTGTAAGAATATTGAGAAAATGGCAGTTTTAAAAATTGGTAGGGAAAAATGGCACTTTAGACAATAATCCCTTGAAATTAATTGAAGCTCATAACTATATGTGAAGGAAATGGGAACTGAAACCTATAAAATATATATTATTTTTTTTCTTAAAATACTTTCTTTGCTTTTTAATAATTTGAAACTTAAATTTTAATCATATTTTTCTTTTTATTTACATTTCCTAATTTTCTAGTTCCTATTCTGTTCATTTTTTTTTGTAGACTTCCAATTTATTTTCCTTCATTATGAAGATTAATTTGAAGTCTCCAAGAAATTTGTATTGTATGTACGTAGTAACTTGTATTTCCATGTTCATTTTTAATTATTTGTATTGCTTCATATATACATATTTTACTACAACAAAAATGATTCATACTCTAGAAGATTATTTTAGTGTGATTTTTGTTTAAAAATTATATAAAATACACCTTCAAAAAGAGTTCACATCAGAAGTATTACTCAAAATCTCTAAATAAGTTTGAAAGAAAGACGATTAAAACTTAGACCTAGTTGAAATGGCTACACTTCACTCGAGTCAAAAACATCTGTGACTAATAAAATGTCAGCACAAGATTCCGAAAGGAATATAACTGTCGTAAGTGGTTTTTAATTAATTGTCTCGATGTAAGACGTGTTCGAACACGAACATCTCATCTCATGACACGCTTTGGCATATTTTTCCTATGTTGATTATTTGCTCGTAGATATTTTATACTCAAACTATGATATCTGATAAATAGCAATTTAAAATCACTAAATTTTCAACCAAAACTATATGAAATTAGCCAAAATCAACATACGGTGAAGCGGTGTTAGTTAAGCACTTAACGAAGATGAGACAACCGACACTGTAGAAACCACAGAGCATGAAAGATGGTTAAATTGACGTTAATTTTTGAGTTAAGGGTTATCGAATCGAAGAACAGCTAAATCATTTACTCTTCAAATCTTCGATTCGAGAACCCTAAACTCGCAAAACAACGTCGTTTTACTCAACTCCGACGTCCCTTAATTGCCACAATGTCGGCTGATCCATCTCCGTTAAGCGGTTGAAAGGACTCGACCTGTTTTTTTTTTACATTCATTCATTAATACAGTAGTCCCATACCTACTAATTAATCTAACGGAATTAACACAGCAATAAACCATCATGCACAACGGAAACATATTAAACCAACATCAATTAATCATAATATTTATTAACGAATTATTCAATAACCATAATTTACACCCGCAACCTAGCATGCCTCTAAACTACGTTCCAACAACAATTAAACATGATCATAAACAGAACAACCGAGATCCTAGATCATCCTCCTCTCCTCGCCATGATTCCACGAATCACACTTTACCTACACCACAAACACAATGAGATACGTGAGTATTATCACAAATACTCAGTGAAGCGATCCTCCATCTACTGGGCTATACACACAAGCATATTAAACCAACCTAACATGCATCAGATTAACCAAAACAAACAAACCAGGCATCGAATTACACGCTGTCCAGAAACTTGGTGTCGAGCGACACCAACCCCGCAGAAACCCTAAAATCGCCTCTCAACTCCCTAGAGAACGAATCCAACACCTCAAAAGCTCCAGCCATGAGCCCTAACACTCAAACATACAATAACAACAACCAAAACACACAAACATGGCCACAAAAAAAAAATCCAGCCATCCAAATCAATCAAACACACATAAGAAGGGTTAAACATGCTTAGATCAGTCATAGTCACGCACTCACCTCTAAAACAAGAAGAAACAGCAACGAAACAGGGACTAGCAAGGGTGAAACAACCTCCACAGACACCAAACACCACGGATCTAACCTCCTCTAGCCTTGATCCACCAAGAATACGCCTCAAACTCACAAAATACTCACTCAAAGGCACCAAAAGATCAACTCACACTCCCTGCTCTTTGCTAACTTCTAAAAGCGGCTGAAAAGAGAACAAGGACGATCTTTTCTCTTTTAAAGCGTCACTTAGGGTTAATCCCAAACAAACCCCAAGCACCCCGCAATTAAAATCGAACTCATCCAAACCAAAAATTGTTGGTGTCGAGCGACACCTTCCCTTGGTGTCGATCGACACCACCTATTTTCGAACACGGGCGTTACAGCGGTCAACTAACATCGTTTTTGTATTTGTTGATTTTGGCTGATTTCATATAGGTTAGGTTGAAAATTTGAATTTTTAGTGAGTTTTGGTTGCTATTTACCGGGTATCATAGTTTGGTATAAAAATCCCACTAGCAAATAGTCTGGGTTGATTTTAACGATTTTGGAAGCTTATAATCTTATTTATAATGGTTCTTAACCATTATCAAAAAAAATTATACTCGATATGAGATGTTGCACATATGCTAAAAAAAATTATAATATATGTTAGTTTAAAAAAAATTAAAATGGCAATATACGCGAGAAAAAAATTTGTATTTTTATTATACATATGTTGTGTGTAATAAAGAAATTAAAAAAAAAAGATCATAAAAAGATTTAGAGAAATATTTGAGAAAATATGGAAAATAGTGGAACATAAAAAGTTGGTTTTTCAAAGTTAGTTATTAACAAGATCGTGACACGTGTTAATTGAATTGATGATGTTGACACGTGTCAGATAATTAGTGGTAAGAAACTATATAAATAAGTTTTCAAAAAAGAATATTTCCAAAATATAAATAAAAAATAAAAATTTCAGGAAATTAAACAATTGCTTAGTAATAATCCTAAAGGAAAAATGATAGTTATTATTAAATAAAACTAGGTTCGGACCCGCGCTACAGCGCAGGGGAAATAATTACATACTAGAGGATAGTCCGTGCTACTGCACGGATGACGTTTTCTCAAAACGTTAATAAATTTTTATTTCTTTAAAATTTTTCTTATCTAAGATAGTGTTTATTTTTCATATCGTAAGTGTTTAGCAAATAAGATGTTTTCAGTTTTGGATATGTCTGGTAGGTTCGACTGATTAATTTACGATCCGAACATTGGATACTTTTTCGATTGGAGTTTAATGCTGATAACGGGTAATCTTAAAAACAAAAAAAACTGCCATTAACCCGTGACCCAATGAACCGGCCAGATTTTGGTTTACAATATGAATTGGAAGTAAAATATAGAATTTTAAATATTTCTAGAAATTATAACATTTTTACTATTTGTCCAACAAAAATAAATATAACTAAGTTTGGTTATCGTAAACCCGTGAGAAATTGTTTTATTTTTGTAATTTTTACTATTTTCAAAATAAAACTAAGAATTTTACGAATATAGATTTGGTTGTTGTATGTTCAAAATAAAATAAATAATTTTACGAACATAGATTGTGAATTTTGATATTGTTTTACTTTTTCATAATATATTCTTAATAAATATTATAAAATGTAATATTATAGTTTCAGTTTCACGTGTATTCAAAATTTGATAAGCAAAAATAAAATAGCTTCGATATTTTTTTAAAAATATTTTTTTTGAAAATGTTACTAATGAGACTTTGTGTATTTAATCATAAATGCATTTATTTATAGGGAAAGATGGAGTTAATGGGAAAATTATGTTTATAATTTTAGAGCTACGATTGTGAATAGAAATACATCTTGATCAATGTATATAC